TTTTTTTTTTTTTTATTTATTTTTCTTTCTAATAATAATTAAGATTCTTTTTTAAAAAAATAATAAATACCGATTTACCTTTTTCTTCCTCACTTATTAGTTTTTTTTTATGTAAGTATTTCCATATTCTGTCGTAGAGTCTGCGAGTTAAGTTTTTGTCGCGTTATTTTTTTTCATCTACTTTGTTAGTTACTGCGGAACTACAAATATTCTTAAACTCGTACGCATATAACATAACGCGCATATAACACACATAACATAACTGCAAGTCTAGCCTTTCTTTTCTTTTATTGGTTCCTTTTAAAATCTTTGGTGTATTAATTATAAGGGAAACGCGGTTACTAAATTTATTGATTATTTTGTACAATATTAATATTTAAAGGTTATTCTTTTTTCCTTTTTGTTCTCTTAACTTAGATATTAAAAAAATAAAATAATATGGCTGCCGTTCAAACTATGATGGGTAACTCTATTGGAGTTGAAGACGAAAATTCTGAGGTGATTTACACTGAAGTTACTGAAGAAGTTATTCATGTAGAACACACAGAAAAATTGGATACTGTTCTTGAAGTCGATGAAGTTAAAGTTGTTAAAGAAGAAGAATATGATAATTTAAAACAAGTTGAAGGAACTATTTCACCTCCTGAAGAAATTAAACATACTGAAACAACTGAAAAAGTTGAACCTACTCAAGTTAATACTGAACAAGTTCAAACTTCTGAAATTAAAAAGGTTACCGAAAAAACTGATGATAAATCTATAGAATCTCAACAACAAACATTATCTGATCCTTCAGAAGAATATGAATCAGAAACTCATCATGAAAATGTATCAGTATCCGGTGAATCTAATACAACAGAAACAAAATCTGTATCTAATGGTGTTTTGACCCCTCCAAAAAGTCCAACCGATGAAAAGGAAAAAGATAAACCGGAAAAAAAGACTTCAAAAGTTCCAAGTAAAATTGCAAGTTCCAAAACTACTACTAAGAAATCAACTTCAGCTACTTTAACTACATCTCCGACTTCTACCAAATTAACACGTGCTCGTAGTTCATCAATCAGTAAATCGGATCCTCCAACATTATCTAAACCACCACGCTCTTCTAGCACTTCTAGTAATGTAAGAGCTCCATTAACATCATCATCTAAAACATCACCAACATCTCCTAAGTCGACTGCAACAAAAGGTACAACAAAAACAACTACATCAAAAACTACGTCCAGTTCAACTACGTCCCATTCGACCACAGCGAAACCTACTACCAAAGCTTCGACAAAACTTGCTGCTCCAGGTCTTACACGTAAACCGTCTGCTAATACAAGTGCTAATACGACTGCTAGTACTGGAACTACTGCAAAAAAGTCTCCAACTTCTCCAAAATCCGAAAAAACTCCTGCAACAAAACAAAAAGCTACGCCTGCTGTCACTACCACAACAGCAAAAGCTGTTGCTACAAAAAGTGCATCTTCTGCGAAGGCTAATGGAGTTGGCGCGGTAGCAAAGGTTGCTTCTTCCATTGATGTTAATCTTAAAGAGAAGGTTGGTAGTGCCAATCATACCTATCTTTTTTAAATGTTAATAAAAATGATTACAACGGTAAGATTAATATATTTAATTTTTTTTTTTTAATAGAATGAGGAACTTACTCGACTCCTTGAAGAAAAGGAGAGTATTATAAAATCACATCAAGAGAAATTAGATGCTATGAAAGCTGAAGCTGCTGAACAACAAGCTCGTTATTTGGAAGATTTGAAAGACGAAAGTCTTAAGATTCAAATCGAAAAAGAGAATGTTCTAATTGAAAAAGAAGAAGCAATCCTTGCTAAGGAAGACTTAATTGCTAAGCTTAAAAAAGAAGTTGACTCTTTAAAGAAAGAAATTGAAACTTTAAGGAAGGAAAAGAAAGATAATGATGTAAGTGTTGGTTTGCATTTTTTATTTGAATATTAATTTGTCTATTATGAATTGATATTTATAGTAGTTTTATTTTTTATTTTTATTTTTTTAGTTTGTTCAAAGTGCTTATAAAGGAGAAATAAATCAACTCAAGGAAAACACTGCAGCACAAATTGAAAAGGCCAAATCAGAACAAAATGAAAAACACAATAAATTAATCGAGGAACTTAAAGATAGCCATGCTGCTGAAATCTCCGAATTAGCTCAAAAAATTAAAGGCGGTGAATCTATCGCCGAAGAACTCGAAAGAGTAAGAGCTGAATTAGAGGTTAGTATGGTGGTTTGATGAATATCAAATGTTTTATGATAGACATAAGTTTTGATTAATAACTTATTAATCTTTTTTCCCTTACAGACCACTAAAAAGGATCATGAGGAACAATTAAAATCTTTACAGACACAGCAAGAACTTGATATTGAACAAGCTAGAGAACAAGAAAGAAATAACTATAGGGTAATATTTTGCAATATGCTCAATATATTCTCTTTATTTTAATAAAATATATATGTATATACGTAATGATACGACCTCTTTTACTTTAAATAAGGCTACTCAAGGAGACACTAACATTGCCATTGAAACAATGAAATTCACCCATTTGGACGAAGTGAACGAACTTAAGAGAGCTCATGCTGAAGAATTACAAAAACTTAATGATGAACGTGATGATGCGATAGAGAAAGCTAGAACTGAAATTCAGGTAACCTTTTAATATTTATTATATAGTAATTAATATTTTTGTATTTTTCTGTTAATAACTTGCATTTTTTTCCGAATAGACGCTTCTCAATGATCAACATTCTTATGAAGTTATTAGACTTCAGAAAGAATATGAAGAAGAATCGAAGTCAACTAATAAAAAAAGTGATGCTGTTATCCAAGAAATGGCTGCTCTTAAAGGCCAACATTCTCAAGAAATTCACAATCTTAATAAGACTATAGAGGATCTTAATAACAGCTTAGAGGAGCTTAAAAAAAATCATAATATTGAAATTGAATCATTAAGGTCATCTGCAGGCCAAGGGCTTGTTAACAATCATGAAACAGAAATAGCAGAACTTAAAGCTCAACATGAAGCTGAAATTGCTCAACTTAAAGCTAGTCTAATGGCAGCTTCTGATAAAGAAGCTACATTATCTACAGAAATTGAAAAATTGAGGAGTCTTCATGATGAATTAAAAAATTCTCTTGAAGAGAGCTTGCAAAATAAATTGGATGCATCCGTGATCGATGAATTGAATACAAGACATGCTCAAGAACTTGAAGAATTGAATGCAAGACATGCTCAAGAAATTGAAGAATTGAAACTTTTGCATGAAAAATCCAGAGTTGAACTTGAGGAAGAAATTGAAAAGATTAATTCAAATCATCATCAATCTATTAAAGATCTTCGAGATTCTCACAGTAAAGAAATGCAAGAATTTGAGGAAGTGATGAAAGTAAAAGAAAATTTATTGTTGGAAATTGAAACACTCGACAAAGTCAAAAATGAAGATTCTAATATAATCAACGAATTGCATAACCAAGTTGCAGCATTAAATAAACAAATCGGAGATTATGAAGAGCAGCTTCAAGTAAATGTTTTTTATTATTAAATAATTTGATTGTATTATCTACTATACTAAACCATATAAATCTAAATACTTTTTTATAAACATTAGCAACATAAAATTGAAATCGAGCAAGTCAATGCTGAGTCATTAGTTTCCCAAAAACAATTACAAACTCTCCTCGATATTAAGGATCAAGAAATTGAAGAATATAAAGCGAAATTATCCGAACCTGTAAGTTTAACTTTTAATTTTATTTGTCATGTATTTATTTAAGTTGAATCTAATTAATGAATTCTATAACTATTAAAAAGAGCGACGGAGAAGGCAAAGACCTTAGTGAAGTACATCAAGCACATCAATCCGAAATTGCTGAACTCAAAGCAGCCTATGATGCTAAAATTGCTGAACTCGAAAAGGCTCATAGTGCTAACATTGAAGAACTTGAATCATCTAAAAGTTGGCTTGATCAAGAAATTGATCGACAAGACGTAAGATTTATTATTAAATAATAATATCGTTTTTACGAAAGTATATCTGATACTAATTTTTTATATAAATACTTTATAGACAATAATTGAACAACTCAATATTGATAACAAGAAATTTAAGGAAGAGAATGATCAAATGCTCAAGTTGATTCACCAACAACAAGAAAAGTTATTTCAATTATAATATGAATACACATTTTGAATAGGATATAGAAGAAAATATAATATAATTCTTTTTCTTCTTATTCTTCTTATTCTTCTTATTCTTCTTATTCTTTCATTTGTTTATTTTTTAATTCTAAATTTATAATTATATTATTTATTACTACCGTATATTTGAACTATTAGTTGATTCAAAAAAAAAAAAAAAAAAAAAAAAATATAAGGTTAGTAAAAAATAATTCTTTATATTTTATATATTTTATATTTAGGAAGCTTTAATTATTTTGGGTTATTCAATTTAGACAAGTCTTTTGTAATCTCTATTATATTGTATATTTTTCATAATTAGTTTATCCATTATACTTTTCTTTCTTTTTAGGTTATTTATTTTGTTAATAGGTTTCTGGTACTCTAAAATTATATTTATTATTTGTATAACAAAAAAAAGAAAAAAGAAAAAAGAAAAAAAATTATCAAAATAATAAATAAAGGATATTATATTTCATTTATTAATTAATAATATAATAATTAGGTGTTTTTTTTTTAAGCGTGATTATTTAATTATCTAATAATGTTCACTAATTATTTAGTATCTATAAATTGTTTTTTTTTACAATTATTTTCCAAGAGCAGTATGAAGAGCATCAACTTGATGTCTAATACTTTTGCTAAAATTCAAATTAAAAAAGTAATGTTAAAAAAAAAGTTTTATAAACAGCGAAAAGTTATGAAATACATACATTTTACTTGCTAATGTTTGTATATGAGAAAATCCCTTATCAATTCTTGAACATAATTGAATCAATTCTTTGGATTTTTCTGTAGCATCATTAATAACAATACAATGATTTTCAATGGTTTGTTTATAAACATCGAAAGAAGCGGTGGTTAGAACCGACGCCTAAGTTAATTAATCAACAAATAAAAAATAAAAAAACGCATTTTATATTCTACAAATAAGAATTAAATGTTAATTAAAATTAACAACCACATACCTCGAACATTTGAGATTGTAAATTACGTAACATAGTTTCTAATTCATTAGAAATACCTTGAGCTTGTATTTCTAATTCATCGATCATATTTTTATTTATTGGTGGATCAGTTTTTGTTCCAATATAAAACGAATTTAAATTATCATCATCAAGTTCTAATGAATTTGTTGATATTAGTGAAGTTTTATTAGTGGAAAGATTTTCCATTGTAAAAATATTCAAAAAGAAAAGATTAAAATTAAAAGCTTAGGTTTAAATCATCCAATCACATGACTGACTAACAACAATGATATCATCGTTACGATAATCTGTCACATGATTTGGCGTCATTAGTGAAATGATTCAAACACACAAACACACGGAGTACTGGATAATATTATATCCAAAGTAGACATAGTCAATGACAATACTAAATAGTATGATAAGTACGTAATTTTATAACGGCCAATCATAAATTTTCATATCGCTTACTATTTGATCCCGTAATTATATTATTACTTTTACGAAACCCACTTAAATTGTGGCGCGCATAAAAATAGATAGAGTTCCATACTAATTTAGTGTTATCGGTGGGTACAAGATTTGCAAATTAGAGTCCTCTACCGAAAAAAAAAAGGGAAATTCTATAATAAGAATTCCAATAAATCGTTCCAAATTTTTCACAATAAAACTTTATAAAAAATTGGTTAGTCTGATAAATCTGATAAAATTATTTCATAATTTTAGTTAAACTAGAATGGGAGTTTCCTTTTGTTTTTAAAGTGAGGCTTTTACCAATGTTCGAAGTTCCCTTTTGCTTTTACCATCCATTTGGTTTATATTGTAATATATATTAATGTGGCTTTTTTTAGTGATACTATAAATCTTACCGATTTTGTCTGAATTCGTTAAAGTCTTAAAGAATTATTGATAGAAAGGGGAATGTGACAAAACTATTGGTCACTAAATTCAAAATATCAGTTTGATTGACTAATTAACATGTAAATGTATAAGATTATTCCAGTATGGGAAGGTTCCAAAGGTCCCTTTAGTTTGCGCATGTGAATTCAGATAACTATTTCAAGTGTAATAATCTAAAGCAATTTTGTAATTTCAATTTTCACTTGAACATTGACTACTTACTTTTGAGTATTAGGGTAAAATAGATTTTTCACAATAATAAGAAATATAATATATGTTAAAATAAATATAACAAAATCACGAGTTTAAATGTAAAAATATCTAAGCCTCGCTCCAAAATAATCCGGAATTTTAATGGCCTAATCAAATCTAATCCGGATATTTGAGTTTAAACTGGATTGAGACAACTTTTTGGCTGACAATATGACTTAACTTCGACTGAACTCGATTTTTAATCTTGTCAAACCTGAATAAACAATCAAAATTGGATAAACAGTCAAAGTTTCGAAACTATATTAAGTACTAACCTAACCAAGTCATATTACCGTTCCAAGAGCATAGTTCGCTTCAAATTTCAAAACTAAGAAGGGTTCCTTATTTCCCAGAATTTTGAATAATACACATGCCTGATGATTATTATATTACGTATATCAAACAATCGTCAAGATTCCATCACTCCATTGAAATTTAGGAAACTTTTGATGTTTATGATTTTATTACTGTTGATAATAAATGATAACAGTATATAAAAAAATATCCGGATGACATATGCCACAGGTTACAAAGTTCAATTACATACAGTATATACTTTTAAATATATATTAAAAAAAAAAAATGTCAATACATGCAATAATCTAATTATAAGCTAAACTATAACACCACTAAACTCACTAAATCCAGCCTCAGGTTAGAAGTAATATACGAATAACCCTAAAGAGACCTTCGAACTGAGCAACTACAACTTTACCCAAAATCCCACTTTTTGTAGCAGACATATCCCACCTTTTGTAGTAGAAAAAGAACCTCATTTCGAACGATCCTCTTGGATATAAACCAAACGATACAAAATCGTCTACTAATCTTTGATCTTAAGCTAAATGATAAAAGAAACTGCCCATTTTACTTGAACAAATCAGAAACGCCGCGATCATTGACGTAAATGTTATTGTCATACAAAATTACCTCTTATAGGGATCTTTAAGCTAAGATTTGTTACATTTGCAGCAATTAAAATTTTTCGTACTTCTTTGATAAGAATTGATCGTCTTTAAAAATTGAGCTATTTTAAGTGTTTTTTTGCGGCCAGCAGTCTACAATTTTAATTAATTAATTAATTGAAATCAATTTTATATATATTTTTTTGAGGTGTTATATAAAAAATCAATATTTTACAATAAAAATCTTTATTGATTAAAAATCATTTTTAAGAAAATGAATTACAAATTATAAATAGAGAATAAATTCTTTAAATTAGATATTTTGTAATATACCCGGGCCGAGGTATCTTTAAACAGTGTGGTACGGTATCTATTGATCTTAAATGAAATGAATTCAACAAACTAATTAACCTTTTACCATTAGATGTCATATGGTTATTAAATGCTGAACAAACCTAAATAAATAAATCAAAATTAATTTTATTCTTACAGTTTAAGGGACACATATATCGACAATTCCTATTTTAGGATTTCAGGAGCACAAATATTCAATATTTATGAACAATGAAATAATGATTAACAAGTTATCCTACTTTTTTTTTTTTTTCACGGTAGATTAAATAAAGTAAAAACTGTATGCAGGACGTTAGCCCTATATGAGAATTAATTATTACGTGACATTGATGTAAAAATAAACTTTACACTAAAGACGCCAACTTAAATATTTGATCAATTTAAATAATTTAATGAGATTGGGCTTAATGTGAATATAGATTAAAAAAGTTAATCGTTTTCGGGACTTTAATCCCCGTATATTGTTACATGCTTTTATACTAATGAGTAATGACGTAAATTTGATAGGAATTAATGATAAAATAGTTTTGTCATTTAGCATTATAGTTTGTTGCAATTATAAACAAGTACTGTATAATGAAGTTTATTACATAATCAATAATATAAATTCTTTTTATATAATAACAAATTATGTAATATACTATATTTAAACACGTTAAAACTAATTATTATTTTGGTAAAAGTCCATTTAGGTAAAACGTTACTAAACGTTTCGATTTTAGATTTTTGGCTCTCCGGAACTCTTCCGGACGGAATTGGCATAACGATAATGTGATTTATTGATTTATTGTTTTCTGACGAAATTTCTAGTAAAAAAAAGATTCTTATGTGAACCCTACTATCATGACCTACTATCATGAAGTAGGATGAATTCAATAAATTCAAGATATATATATATATATATATAATAATATATGATCATGTTTTTAAGTGAACAAAATTCTAGAAAAATATCAAGTTGTACAACATTATACATGGTAGATTTAATGAAATAAATTTTAAACTGTGAAATAAAATGCTCATCACAAGAAGAAGTTTTGAAGAAAATTCTAGATGTGATTTTTTAAAAGTTACAAATATAAAAAAAGGAGTAATTCATTTGTGTGAAAAAGCGAGTTGTCAACCTCACTGAAGTTTGTGATACCAAATTTGGTTAACAGAGATTAACGCTGCGTGGAGATCTTAAATCTTAAAATTTTAGTTGATTTTCTTTTCTGGTAATATTACTAATAAAAACTAGTTTTTTTGATTGTAAATATAAAAGGAAATATGACTTGTTTATGTAATATATTCATATGACATTAAGTAGGTAAATAAAAAATTAAAAATCAAAGAAATTTGATCCAGTTATACAATAATTTGAAAGTTTTGTTTTATTTCAAAATTTTAATATCAAGTGTAATAAAATCATGATATTTCCTCCTATTCCCTCCTAAAAGAAGAGGAGGATCAATTCTTGGATCAATTCGAACTCTTTCTCGAAATGAATTAAATCTTTTGGAACTTGAATTGAGAAATTCGAGAGTTTTTAAACCAAATCTAATTATCCAATAATTCTGATTAATTCATTTTATTCCTTACCTAAGAAGAATATAAATTATTTTGTAGTTTTTCAAAAAAATTCTGTATGTATTGTATGTATTGTGAATTATTAAGTGATTATAATTACAGAATGATTATAGGACAATAATTGTCCCAAGTAATCGTCCTGTAATTCAGTAATTTATTTTTATTAAGTAATTTTTGCATGGGGTAGTACAATTCTGAAAACAGCAATAAGATTGGTATAATATGATTACAAAATTCAATTTTTTTCAAATATACATGTCACAGTTAGAGGAGACAGTATTTAGCCATATATACTCTAGCCTCCTGTATGAAGCTCATTGTTTTAGCCAGGTAAGGAATTCAATACTTTTCCTATAAATAATTAAATAATTGGTTTCTCCCCTAAAATAATACTTAAGACCATTATATAAAATTTCTATGAAAATAAATAAAATAAATAAATAAATAAACAAAAATAAACGATTATTTTTTGATCAAACGTACAAAGGATAAGAAAATTGGAGGCGCAGTATATCATAAAAATCTATATAATAAAATAATATAAAATTAATAATGGATAAATGAAAGAAAAGAACGAGGAAATAAGGTTGGGAGACAATGAAATGCGCAAGATGATACAATACGCCAAAGATCCAAAGAAAATCTTTCGCTTTAGGTTAAAATCAAATGCACCATGTGTTTGATTTCATATTTGTAAGACAAACTGATTATTAGGAATGTAAAACGTCATTTATATTTACGTTATGGTTGGTTTAAATTATACGTAATTTTAACTAGTATAAATTTGAAATTTTCTTAAAATTCGTAAAATTCGTCACTTTTGTATTTATGCAGAACATGTGAGTACTTGCAGAATACGCAGCAATGTAATAATTATATCATTTCACGTGGACTGAATCGAAAGAATTATAATTAATCGGTGATTATGAAAATTTTTTACTAATATATTAAAATGATCAGAATAACTCCCGACTTTATACAATTTTGACAATTTTTGACCATATTATTCTTCTAAAATATCTAAAATAGTTCTTTCTTACCTTCTAAGTTTTAATTTGAATTAGTCAATATTTTTAAGTTATTCTCTGCCATAGAATTATAAGATTTTTTTTTTTTTTTTTTTAGTATGACTGAACCGAATTTTATTAAAATTTGAAATTGTATAAAATTACAAATATGAAAAAACTGTCCATTTATGCGCCCGAGCGTAGAATTGTGGGAC